AGAATTATATAATTGTTGGCCAAGTTCCCCTGGGCATTTTGAAAGTCTATTGCATAGAACACATTAGACACTCATCCGGTTATATTTAATGAAATAAGTCACTTTGGTCCGAATAGAATGAGAAGGGGACCGGTCGTCCATCATAAGCAAATAAGGAAATGGCTGGAAAACAATAAATGCAAGAGGGGTTATATCTCACCCTGCACCTGAGCCCTGAGGGTTAAGAAAGCCACAACAATTACTTGTTCAATGTTGAAAATAATGAAATTGGAAAAATGACCAAAGAAAACAAAATCACAACAAAAAGCGACTCATTTGCGTGCCCAGGGAATTTGAAAAGCAGCAGCAGGAAACGAACCCAGTTTCAGAAGGAAGGCCATTGCCGCCAAGGCTGAGATCAACCGCAGACAGGAATCTACCGCGACGACGGTCGTCATGAGCTTTCAATGCACTTAAACTCCTGGGGCGACCTTTGAATTTATGCACCACAGGAAACGCTAAATTTCCGCAAGCAACCCAAGAAAGGTCCAGAACTAATATGCCCACCACCATCAATCCTCTGAGATCCATTTTTATGAGCTGGAATTGAATTCTACCCGACCGTTGCTTCGAGAGAGAGCAATGTTAAGAAACACTAACCACAAATAATAATAACGAAGGAGGAGGAGGAGGAGAAAGAAAAAAAGGAAAGAAAAGCCGAAGGGACAACTGGAGTAGAATTCAAATATCCAATCTAAAATGTCATTGTTGTTATCATTTGTTCTTGTTTGGGGCTAGAAATCCAATGCCGACCCTAATGAAATAAAGGTCGGAAAATGGGAAGACAGGAAGAAGCAAGGGAAGGGAAACATGCAAAAAAAGAGGCTAGTCGGCAACAGATACCAAGAGGGGGAGGATTTCCCGACTTCAACGCCAAATGCCACGTTCTCAAATTTAGCATGCACTCTCGTCTCTTGACTTGACTTTTTTCTTTTTCTTTTTTTTAAAATTGCCTAATTGACTATATAGGGATGAAGATAAAATTATTGAAGTCAAGTGTGTTCCACTTGATAATTGATATGTCGTGTCATATAATTTAATGCTTTTAAGTATGTATCAAGCACATATTAATGTTGAGAAATATAATCAATTTACATCCATTAAGTACTTATTTAAGTACATAAGCAGAGGGAATGATAAGGTGGTTGCTACAATATATAACAATTATGATGAGATTCAATAATATTATAATTATCGATACATATCTGCATGTGAGGGATCTTGGAGTATATTTGGTTTTTGACATATATCACAAATTTTCTTTTGTTCAAAGATTATGCTTTTATCTCCTCAATTATTAGTATGATATTTATTCTAATGATGATGATGATGTAGCTAAATTGTTGGATAAACAGGGAGTATGTGAGTCGCAGTTTCTGGCTTGGATGAAAAGGAATGAGTGGGATACAGTTACCCAAACACTTACATATATTGAATTCCCTTATCATTATGTTTATTAAAGAACAAAACAATCTTGAAAAAGAAGGGAATGTGGTTTTGATATTGGTAAGATTACTCATGTAACTTGATCATCTAGAGAACTATACTATTTTAGAATTCTTTTGACAAAGGTTAGAGGTCCTTCTTCATATGATGCCATTAAAATCGTCAATGGAGTAGTCCACAAAACATTCAAAGATGCTTGCTTTGCATTAGGATTACTAGATGATGACAGGGAATACATAAATGCAATACATGAAACTATGACTTGGGCTTCAGGAACATCGTTGAGAAGAATGTTTGTGATTATGTTACTATGTTCTTACTTGAGTCATCTTGACTTTGTATGGAATAATATTTCAAAAATTTTATCTAAAGATCCATTATGCACCTCCAAAAATAATCAAAGCTTATCAAGTAATTTGAATATTTTTCAATCCAATTACTATCAATTAAAATGTTTTGCAAAATATTTATGAATAATCATTTAAATTTTTTTATACATTATAGCGATTAGTGTGCCAATCTTTGAAAAGGAACAGGCTACACTACGCGAGATCAATCGCTTTCTAAAGAGTAATGGGAGATCACTTTAAGATTATCCATCCCTACCATTACCTCAAGAAACTTCGATATTTGAAATCACCAACCATCTGATACTACAAGAATTGAACTATGATCGAGATAGCTTACACATAAAAGCTTCAAGGCTAATTAGTTCATGATGAGCAAAGATGTATTTATAATACTGTCATGTCCTTAATATCTTCACAAACAGGAAGATTTTTCTTTGTCTATGGTTATGGAGGCATTGGCAAAACATTTATGTGGAATGCGTTATCTTCATCAATTTGTGCAAAAGGAGATATAGTTTTGATTGTGGCATCAAGTGGAATTGCAGCAACTTTATTGCCATCCGGAAGGACAAGACATTCAAGGTTTACAATCTCTATACAAATAATTGAAGACTCTATTTGTTGCATAAAATAAAATTCTGTATTAGCATGTTTAATTGAAGTAACAAAGTTAATCATATGGGATGAAGCACCAATGGTGCAATGCTATTGTGTTGAAGCCATACACTTAGGAATATAATGCATTCTAATTATCCATTTAGTGGGAAATATGTTGTCATGGATGGTGATTTTCACCAAATCCTTCCTATTATTCCAAAAGGAACAAGAAAAACAATTGTAAATGCATGCATTAGTTTTTCACCCTTGTGGGACCATTACAAAGTTTTCCAATTTAAGAAGAATATGCGTTTATCACTATCAACTTTAAATAATGATAATGAAGATTTGAAAAAATTTTCACAATGGATATTAGATGTAGGTGATGGGAACTTGGGCTAACCACATGATGATGTAACTGAGATAGAGGTTCCTCATGATTTATTGCTTTTTGACTGTGACGATGCAATGGAAGCTATTGTGTCATCTACTTATCTAGATTTGCTTGATAATTTGTCTAACACTAAATATGTTAATGACAGAGTAATTCTTTATCCTACCATTGAAGTTGTTAATCAAGCTAATGATTACATGTGCTCTTTACTTCTTGGTGAATCTATTGAGTTCTTAAGTTGTGATTCCATTTGCAAGTTAATAAAAGATAGTGATTCATTTGATGATTTGTATAGTATTGAGTTTCTTAACATAATCACTTGCTTTAGATTACCTCCTTATAAGCTTCACTTGAAGGTTGGGACCCTTATAATGTTACTCCATAATATAGACCAAGCCTTTCGTCTATGCAATGACATAAGGTTACGTGCCACTCATGTTGGAAGAAATGTTATAGAAGCTATAACTTTGAACGGTACAAAACAAAATGAGAAAGTCTTGATCCATCAAATGGACATGAATCCCTTAGAAAGTAGATGGCATTTTCACATACAAAGAAGATAATTTCCTATTATTGTTTCATTTGTAATGACGATCAACAAAAGTCAAGGGCAATTATTGTAAAATGTTGGATTATGTCTTCCAAAGCCAGTCTTCACACATGATTAATTTTATGTAGCACTATCAAGATTCTCTTGCCCCATAGGATATTTACTACAAAAAATGTTGTTTGCAGAGAGATTTTTAAAAATTTGGTGTAACATGTGTTTGTTTTTAAAACCAATGAAGACATGTTTCATTTTATATGTAATTCAATAAATGCAATCCTCATAAGACATGACTATTAGAATTACAATTTTAATATATGTTGAAGTGATACTTTTGTTGATTTTTTTAGTAATTGTTTAAGAATAACTTAGATTAAATATTTTGTGATTGAATATGATTAAATTCATATAATGTATTGCTCCCCATTGCGTAGTAAGGCTTGTTGACTATATAACGTTGGGTCTCTCTTCCCTTGGGGCCCTCTCTGTCACTTCTTGTTTTCTCTGGCTGGATCTCTCTCGCTCTTCTTTACCTCCATATTTTCCTTTCCTGTGTTTCTTAACCTAATCATATACGCAATCAACAACCAATTCATATCGATGCAACTTCCCCTGCTCCTTGCCTTTAAATAATTCGTTGAAATATATCTTCCCTCATGTCTTACCTTATGCTAACGAAAAGGGGGGGGGGGAATAGCATTATAAAGAAGTTATGAATGTAAATTGTGATTAAAAAATACAAGTTTAAATTAATGCGGATGAAATAGAATCGTGTACATTTTTATTTTTATCAATTATTTAATGTTTTTTGGGATTTCTATAATTTATTAATTATTAATCGTTACTTGCGTCTACATGTTCACCTGTGTTTGAAGCATTCGTTGTATTCTAGCCCAATTATGTCAATTTTTGAATATTGGAGGATATTACCATTTTCTGTATTTAATTAATTTAACTATTTTAAGGATGACAATGGCTGATTAAAAAATTCAATAAAGATCTCTCGACTATAAATAATTAAAAAGAAAATTTTAAAAATTTTGAATTTTCACAATAAAAATATATTTTATAAGAAAAATGAACAAATCACAGTAGAAAAAGGAACTAGGTAAATTAGAATAAAAATAACACTTAAAATGCAATCAAGTCAAAGTAATGTACCAAATAATTAAAGAAAGACAATTAATAATATTTTGTAAGAAAATAAATAAATTACAATAGAGAAATGAAGTAAGGTTAATTTTATTATTTTACTCTCAAATTTAATTTCAATTCAAAACCTTTAAACTATAGTATTCAGAATTTTTTAGGTTCTCTTTTTAATTATCTGTGATCAATGAACCTTTATTGAAATTTTTCCCACACAATAGTCCAGGAGGGAATGGCCATTTACCATTGGAGAGAAACGGGGCGGAAATTTCCCGAAAACCAGTAGATATTTGAGAAAGAAAGGGGCAAAAATGTGAAGGGGGGATAGTAATGAAAGAAAATGAGTGGGCTGCGTTGGTTGTGAGGACAGGAGAAGACGGGGACAGCCCTGGCATGTGTGATAGGGAGCGCAAGAGAGAGGGGCAACAGCGTCTTTTGAGGAAACTGAGGAGGAAATAAAAATAGGCGGTGACGGGAGGCACGGAGAGATCAAAATCAACATGGCTGTGCTGAACCTCAGTCTGGGTGTTCCTCCTAAACAACCCGCGAGATGGGTTGCCTCTCCCGTCTCATCTCCTCCGAATACGCTGGTCATGCCCCGCGGTCCTCGCCTCCCTCGCGGCGCTTCCCCTCTCACGCTCACCGTTCGCTCCAGCTTTGATGCCGCTACCGCTACTGTGGGCCAGGTCACCGAGGTCACCAAGGATACCTTCTGGCCCATTGTGCGTGCCGCCGGTGATAAGACCGTCGTCCTCGACATGTATACTCAGTGGTACTTCTTCCTCTCTCCTCCTTTCTCTGCCCCCTTCTCATTCCTTTAATCGTTCCCGACTTGATGTGCAAATTGGGAAGTTCTGCTATTGAATTCGCAGGTGTGGTCCTTGCAAAGTTATGGCCCCCAAATTTCAAGAATTATCTGAGAAGTATCTTGATGTTGTCTTCTTGAAACTTGATTGCAACCAAGAGAACAAGGTGAGCGTGTGTTAGCTGGTTCCCAAGTTTTTTATGACTCGCATGACATGTATTTGATGGTTGATTTGGTTGTCGGCAGCCCTTGGCAAAAGAGCTTGGAATTAGAGTGGTTCCGACCTTTAAAATTCTCAAGGACAGCAAGGTTGTAAAAGAAGTCACTGGGGCTAAATTTGATGATTTAGTCTTTGCCATCGACAGTGTTAGATCGAGCTGAAATATGTATCTCTAAAAATATGATAGTGAGTATTCATCGCAATTGTAAGTTGAAGGGAAGCTTAAGAAACTTATCCTGATTCACATGGAGTGATACAGTCAGCATTCATGCAGTTTTAAGTTTTTAAGAAAACTCATCCCAATTTACAGGGAGTGGTGATCAACACTGCCCATTCTTCCCTAGTTATGTCATTGCATACTTATTTGGCTGTCGAGAACCGAAATTTTTGGAGAATTCACATTTTGATATCATCCAACGCTCCTTTTGACTGCTAAAGCATTCCATGGCAATAGCCTTTCATCCGTCAACATATACAGTGCACTTAAAATTTAATTTTGCACCCACTACAGAGCCAGGTCTTGCAGGGACGCATCGGGCCTGCTTGCCCCCTTCCCCCGATACTTTCCACTACTCTTTGAAAATTATTGATTTCTTTATAAAAATTGGTAAGATTGATTCTGAGGGGGATATTTTATGTTATTTGGAAATTTGACACCCTTGCATCCCTTGATCCATGGGGTAATAGTTAAATAAATTATAGTTTCTATAATATATTTTTGGTAAGTCATTTCATTTAATTTTTTTAAATGAGTGAAATGAGATGAACTAGACAAATGAAAGATTATATTTTCGTTGATACCTGCAATTTCCCTGCTTAGATGCGGACACCGGTCTATATCTATTCAATATCCGTGCAACTGAAAATATGGGATACGCTAAAAATATGTTCTCCTCGGCAACATTTTAGACGATTTCATGAGCAATAATCCTCTGTTGAAGCGGGGAAAAAAGCATGCTATGACTGAGTAGGAATCCTTGTGCGGGGTTAAAACTTCTAAGTTTCCAAGCGCCATCATCAATGAAGTAAGAAAGCACACAATACATGCAGATTATCAGGTAAAAATTATATAATTAAATCTTATCCTTAATATAAGGACGTTATTAGTGAGTGATCTAGAAATATCTTTATGAATACTTATTAAATTTAAAGGCATACTTTAATTTTGGTAAACTTTTAAAACTTAACTCACATAAATTCTCCTATATAAAAAAGAGAAAATTAGTTTTGTGATTCTTAAACTTTTAATTCAATTATAATTCAATTCTTTAAGTTTAATTTACTGCAACTAAATTCCTTAAATTTGGTGAATTTGAAAATTTCATCATTGCCTCAAATTGGATTAGACTTACTTATAGGTCAACAATGCTTACATTTAAGTTTGTTGGATTTAAAAATTTCATCATTGCCACGAATTGGATTAGACTTGCTTATGTGTCATCAACAATGCTTACATGGCATCTCATCATTAGCATGTGTTTAAAACAATCACAAAAAAAAAGAAATCTAAAATTAAAAAGGAACAAAGACAAGTTTGAACTAGCAAAATAAAGAACGCGAGAACTCTAAAGCTTCTTAGACTTTCTTCGAAGCCAAACAAGATCTGCAGATGGCGAGAACTCTACAAGGAAAATATAAATATTAATATGATGCACGATGAGTCTTGTTTGTTTCTCGAGGTAGACAAGTTTGTAAAGCAAATGGATTGAGCAATTGTTCGTGGTGAACAACGAATACCAGGCGTGCCAGAGACACTGAGTCTCAATTGATAACAAAAAGGGCCTTAAGCTTCCTTACCACAGTTCATTTGGATGTAAAAAGATACAAGGCTTTGGTAGAATAAGTGTTTAATTTTATTGAAATGAGAAAAAATTACAAGTCTAAATAGAAAGATTAACTGATAAACTAAAAGGCTAAAAAGTGTAAAACAACGAGTCTTTGGTTGAGTGTTGACTAATTTCTTCTGTGTCTTCATCTTCTATTTATAGTGCCAGAGTAGTGGTAGTTTCTTCCTTAAGACCTAGCACATTTTGTCAAAGAATCAAGGATCTCGTGACACTCATGGCACGGTCTTTATTCCACACTCTCCATTTTGGTAATCAGCCCATTTCACTAAGATACTTGAACATGAAGCCTATAGGTTTCAGCATTACTAGAGATCGTGTCCTTCCATGCTAATGGTTCAATGTTTGCAGCTGACAAAATTTTAGCATGTTTATTTATTGTGGCCTTTATCGAGCTTCAAGGCTAGCCCCTTTTGTTTATATTAGGCCTAACACTTCAGTTACTTAGCTCAACTAGCACTGTGACCTATTCGAGTGATGTTTCATATTTTAGCCTAAAAATACCCCCCGCATTCCAGTCGCTGATAACGTAAGCCATGTGGCACATTTAAAAAGGGACTGAAACATCGCTTCATTTCTAAGTTCCTTTTCTTAATATAAACTCATTTCTTTTTTGTTCACTTTTCTTGCTTTTTTTTTCGTTTCTTGACCTTCAAGCATTCACTCCCTTACATCCCTCTTACCTTCGCTCTCAAATGGCTTCCTCTACTGCTGTTCTGTCTTTCACATCCCTCGAAAGTCTGCTTGATTCTCTGGTGATTATCTAGAATCCTGTTACCCTACTTGGCAGGTTATGACGGTACATATTCAGTGGTTGAAAACCCTTATTTTCCCCGAATTGATTCCTCATTCTAATAGGTTGCTTATTTTCTTTACAGGAGGATTCTTTGTTCGACGATTCTTTTGCTTTCTAGTAAGTTTTTACTTCTCTTATTCAGTCCCAAAAACTCTGCTATCCCCTCCTAAGTCACTCAATAAGGGAGATGACCTGACTTAGAGGTGAGCCCTCTCCTAAATCTATGTTAACCTTAATAAGAAACTTGATTTTAGCCCAACGATTTCCCCTTTTCCTAGTCATCCTCAAAAGGAATGGCTCAGCCAATGAATGATGATCTTACCAGCGGACTCTGACGATGATAGGGTGAGTCCCTTCAATGTGGAGGGATGGGTATCTAGATCACAAACCCCCAAATGGTCCTTTCTTCTTCTCCTCTGCCATTCTTGAGCCAATCCCCACAGCTCCAACCCAAGTTGCTCAAAATGTGGCTTGAGAGGTAATCAAGCATGTTTAAATCCCGGGACTGTTATGTCTGTCACGGCCCTAAGTGGTGCTGAGTCCAGATGACTTCGGGTTTGCTATTGGCCAAGGAGAAGTTTTCACTTTAACCCCAAGTGGTGAGTTGGAGCTTAAGGGTAATGAAGTTCAAGGTTCCTACCTCTACTGAGATCTCAAGGATTTTCCTCCTATCAGTTGATCTCACTTGCCAGCTCGGCAAGCGCCCTAGAGGTTGGGGGCCCCGAGAGGCCCTTGGAGGGATTTCAAGCAATAAATGTAGAGAATAAGATCGTCACCCTGGCCCCACCCAAGGCGTCTTAGTGCAAGATCAAACTGACTCCTTTGCTCTCGCAGGCCGTGTGGAGAAGGCCCTGTGATCAGCAGCACGGTTCGCACGTCACTCCTCCCCTTCCACGAGCAAAGACAAAGCATCTCATGGACCTGATTCAGGTATTAGCTTGTTCTTCTCTTTCCTTCTAGTCTTTCTAGTCCCTTTCTTTTTCTCTCATTACTGACCTTACTTCATTTTCTTCAGCTGGCTTCGTTGGTGGCGGTACCCACTAACACTCTTCTAGCCTGCATTCGCATCCCTAAAACGGACATGGTGTTGTATGCTTTGGGTCATGTAGTTTCAACTCACCGAGACCCACCTCATTCTCGAGTCAAAACTATGAGGAGATGATTTGAGCTTTGAAGGCTGTGGAGAAGGCAGTCTCTATGCTTGAGCTGGCGCTCTTTCGAGCTCAAGTCCCGACGTGCTATAGCATTATTAGTCGATGCAATAAAGAACTCTCCCTTCTGTAGACTACTTGAAAAACATTGGCTTATGAAGGACGAGTATCTTATCATTAAGACCTGGATGACTGCTGCCATTGATCGAGTCTAAGAGATTGCTCTCGCATAGATCACCTCCAGCATTATAGGTTAAGGTGGCAGACTTGAGGCACCAGCTAGTAACAACTAAAGAGGAATTGGCACGGGTTGAAGCTAAAGATGGTCCAGCTGAATCTAAATTGGAGATCGTGACTAAGGCTCTAGATGAGGTACCAGCTGTTTCGAATGAACAGCTTCATTCCATGCTTGAATTCGAGGCGGCCCTTACTCGCCATCAAACCCTATCTGAAGAGCTGGACTCAGTTTTAGCGATGTGAGAGATTATAGATATTATTTGTAATAATAGACATATGTACCTTATTTTTCATTCTTTATTCTATACTATACAACCCTTGTAACACAATTCATGTATAATAAAGCAAATTATTATTTTTATTATTGTGCACCCCTCGTATACCCTGAGGCCATTCTAGGCCTCAGGTCTTTTGTTGCTTTAGACTTTACTATATTAGACAGCCAATACTTCTTTAAATATTTTTCATTTATAGCCCATCTGTGTGAAGTCCCGTCGATGCTAGCTAACATATATGTGTTCCCTTTAAGTACTTCATTTATCCTCAACAGCCCTTCCTAGTTAGGTAAAAATTTATCAAGCATTCGATCTTTAGAACCAGGTGATAACACAAGTTTCTACACGAGTTCATCCACCCAAAAGTGTTTCCTTTTTATTTGTTTTATTATATATCCTTGAAACCTCTTTCTTTTAGGTGATCATATGATTCAGTGCTTGTAAACGAATTGTATCTAATTGAATTAACTCGTTCATTATAGCCTTGTTGTAGTCCTCAGACAATCTTTCTAGATTGTTCGCAAAACATAAAGAAGGACTGTTATTTTCATATGCCACACATACGGGCTCGTGCCTATAGCCTCTCTCTTTGACGTCCAATATGCCTATATTGTCTCGAGCAATCATAGGTGCCATTCTCTAAGGTTTTTCTTCAATTGTCTTCTTTAGAATTTCAAGGATTACCTTATTGGAAGTTTCAGCTTGTCTATTTGCTTGAGGGTAATATAGTAAGGTGTCAAATATTTAATCCCACTTTCCTCGACAAAGGCCTTGAAATCACTTCCAGTGAACATTGTTCCTTGGTTTTGTTGTAATCATTTGAGGAATCCCAAATTAAAACAATTTGCTCACGTATAAAGTTAATGACGTCATCTTATTCCACTTTCTTCATAAGGATGCCTCTACCTACTTTGTGAATAATCTATGACCACTAAGAGGAATGAGTGGCCCTTAGATGAGGCCAGATAGATCTTTCCTATTACGTCCATAGCCAATCCTCAGAAAGGCTATGGTTTAATAATGAGATGCATGTTTGATGTTGGCACCTATTGTGTTGGCTTGTAGGTCAGGCACTTTTTACATCTTCTAGCTAGATATTCGATGCAATC